GTATATATTAAAGCATTCAATTGAGTTACTATGCGTATTATCAAATTTTGCTAATAGAATTATTTATTAACTCGAAATATAATACTTGTTTAATTAAATAACAAATTTCCGCACATAGTCAACTAATTTAATAAAGGTATTAATTAGTGCTTGAAACTGTACCGTCTGAACTTTCGTCAAAACAAAAGTTCTTTATTTCGTTAGCAAAATCGTCACGTTGATTCTTCACGTAAATTTTTATTTACCAGTTAAGCATGTGAAAGTTAAACAAAATGAACATGAACATGTGGATAATGACAAAATGTCTCCAGGAAAAATAAAACCTTCAAACATTATCATATGTCACAAGTTGTTTTAACAGACATTTCAACTTTACTCGTTCTGAGGCATTCTGAGATATACTGAGATACTCTGAGGCAAGGAAAGCCTTGCACAGTTGATGAAACTGCTTAATATGCAACGATTGTCTGAGGCATCACATGGAATTGTATGTGAGCAAAAATAGCGCAAAAATATAAGAGAAAAAATAATTTTGATTTAAATGAAGTTGAAGTTTGTGACATAAGGAAATTCTGAAATTAAATGCCATAATAGCAAATTTATTGTCAGCACTTAATTAGCACTTGATAGCCTACTCAATGGGTAGCTAAGAGCTACGCAAAAGCTAGTTACTTATGATAATTTCCAGGCAATACCATTTGCTTACTTTACTAATTGAGTTTCGTTAAAATATTGTGCGAATAATTTAGGCAGAAACATTTACGTTGACAGTCAAGTAAATAGCTGCGATAAATTGCGTCAAGTTGATCTAGGGAAATACACACACACGCCAACGCACCAATAGCACAATAGCACACTTGCACAGTTGCAGATACTTGTATCTATGGCGCAAACAAGTGAAAGTATCTTAAATACCTACAATCATGCATATATGCGGATGTATCGCAAGTCAGTATAATAACACATATTTTTTGTGTAAACTTCCCCCCACGAACTGTGTAGGTGTGCACAATCGCTGAGCAAACACATTACACTTTGAATGTGACACGGAAGCTACTTTTTCTTCAATGCAACATTATTTGTTACTACCAAATGGTTTCGTTCTTTTGTATTTTTGTTTTTTTTTGTTATATTTAATAAAAGAAGTAGGTAGACTTGTGCAATTTTTTGTGTAATTTTGGAAAAACACTGAACGGTGAACAGTTCACCATTGAAGCGCCTCAAAAATAATTGCCCAAATTGTCTACATGTGGGTGCTTAATGAGCCGAAGTGCTTTTATGTCAAGACGGCGGAAGTTGAGCGGAAAATGGTTGAAACAAATGACAGCAAATATGCCAACATTGACTTTGACAGAAGCCAACACATATGAGCTTCTCATAGGAGTATAAAAATATACCTAATATTAGCTATCATTAACAAAATAAGGTAAATTTCATTTTAAAGTCGAAATTAAGAGCGCATAAATTCAAACAAAATTACGGCAAAGCATTAGAGTAAATAGCTTTATTGTAATTATTAAAAAAAAAATTATAGTCATAGGAGTACAGTATTAAGTAAATAACTACTCAATTTTATGAATATTGATATTATATATTATTGCATTATAATTAAAGAGATAACAACTATTTTCAACTTAGATTAAAAGAAAAAAAATTATCCACATTCTGATTGAAACTAAACCACCATAGGGTTACGGTGGGTTATGGTGGTTTAGTTTCTGTTCTATATTAGGTTAGGTCAGGTTTGAGTGGCGACCTTGTGCCCAAAGCCCACTTGAGTTCAAATAATGTGCTGACTAGAAGGTCAGCAATAATCGAAAAAAAGGCTCAGTTTCTGTTCTATATTAGGTTAAGTTAGGTTTGAATGGCGTTGTGTGTAAAGCATACTTATATAATGACCCGTTGTGATACCACAAATTTGAGTTGTTGATAGGGAGACTAGAAGGTCGGAATAAAAAGCTTGATTTTTGTTCTGCACTAGGTTATGTTAGGTTTGAATGGCGGCCTTGCACCGTAAGTCATCGACGAATAACGCTGAAAAGCACGATTCCCCTATTCAACTGAAATTGAACCAACCTGAGAACTTTATGAATTTGGTCAAGTCTCAAAATTTCCAGAATAATAACTCCATCAGGTTTCAAAGATTTTGACTATTCTCATTGATAAGAATCCAAATGGACACATGAGGTGGAGTACATGAAGGTCCAGAGAAATGTATATACTTTCCGTGAAGGCTAAACCCCATGTTGTTTTTTACACACCTTTCAGTATAATGCGCCGATGAATACCCCATTGTAATTTCGAGGATTCCACCGGTATCAATGAGGTGGCGTATAGTTACCTCCACATCCGCAAAGCCACAATCCTCACAAAAATCACCCAGTCATATAACATGTCTTTCTAGTATGCAGTGACCCATCAGCACCATTATGCTAAGCTGGTTAATCCTTAGTTGAACCAACTAACTAGTACGTATGTAGTTCAGTTTAGACCTTGTGCTTATGAGCTCTCATTATCAACCTGGAGATTTGATGAGGGTTCATCGAACCATATTTATTTAGTCAAGCTCTGTTCTATATAATAATCTTTAAATGTATTAAATTTGATTGGAATTTATCTAACTAATTATAGCTGGCAATGCAAAATGCAATAAAAGTAGGGGAAAAGAAATGATGTACTGTGCGACTCATCGGTTAAAAAATTGTCGTTTATACTTCTTATTCAAAAGGTGTAAAGTTCTAAGCTTGGCAGTTGTAGTCCAACTATTATATATAGATTTATAAAGGTAACGAATATTTTTAAAGACTACTGATAGTGAGTATTTCAAACTATTCAAAACAGCTGTATGGTAAGTTAAAAATTTAATTAAATAAATTAATGGAATTTATGAATGTAATTAGTGGCCATTCAAAACTCTAATATTAGTAAAATAATTTTCTTTTATCATAATAAACTTTAAAAACTAGATTTTATTTTGAATTTTTTAATTTATTAATTAATTACACTAATTATTAATAATTTTTCTATTGTTCATTAATTTATTTGTTTTAAATAAATAGTAATTTTTTATTTTTAAAAGGAATTTGTTAATTAGTATTTTTTTAATAAATTAATTCAATAATTACAATTTATTAATTAATTATTAATTAATTTTATTATACCATTCATTAACTTTTTGAATCCATTTAATTTAATTAATGAATTGGATAAAGTTATTGCATTTTCGAGACAGATGTTATTTAAGATAGGAATAGGGTTTTTTTACCATTAAATAATTATTGATTTATATCGTGTTTCTCTCCTACTTCTTGACTACTGGTTTTACTGGTTTTAATGTGTAATATCGTATAAGTTATAGCTTGCTGTCTATACTTAAAGCTTGATATGTGTATATTTATTTTAGTCAGACATACAGTTTTAAGTTGATATGTATTTTATTAGCTAATATTGCACAAAAAAACGTTATTTAAAAATAACTTTTAGAATTTTAAAAATTAATAATATTACTATTTAATTTGAATTTAAAGTCAATTATGATGAAAGAAACTATCTTTTTAATAGAAACTATTTTTTAATTAAGAGGTAATGAATTACAACACCAAAATTTCATGTCTTTTAAATTAATTTCAATTTTTAAAACATTTTTTTAAAAATAATTAATATATTTTAATTGAAATAATTTATTTAATTTTAATTTCAAATTAAAAAATTTAGTTGCTGTGTTAAAAACTTTTATTATTCAATTTATTTATTTATACGAATCTGTCATCCAATTTTGTTAAAGAATTTTTAACACATTTTGGATTTGTTTGGCAGTTTGTTGTAATAACTTTATATTCCCATATATACTCAAATATTTAAAAATTTATAAACTTAAATAAATTGTATATAAAACTAATTTCACTGTTATAGTAAAATGCGGTTAAAATCATTTAACAATAAGTCATAATATGTAATTGACTATATTTTTCATTCTAATTGGCTAACATTTATCATTAAATTTAAATATTTGATGAAAATATTTATATAAAGTAAAATAAAAAAAAAAATCATACATAATAATAAATTATAAAATGCTAACCACAGCACAAGATACTTAGTTTTAGAGCAATAAATACGTATGTTATTACTCGTAATATAACACAGCATAAGTATTTGTATTATAGTATTACCATATCTTATACAGCTATATAATTATAAGCATTTATTATCATTTTGTCATAACACATAGCTGGAGACCTCAATAGCCAGAGCTATGTCTATACATGTTAGTTTTAGTTTTAAAGTTTAGTTTAGTTTTATTTAACAAAAAAATACTTGTCCTTCTATACTCACTCACTATACTCATTACTAAAATTGTGGTTTGTATTGACTGCATTTTAATTATTATAATTTCTTCTGCAAATGATTAGATCTAGAACTTTATTTCTTTTTTAATTAATTTGTTTTTAAATTAAATAGAATTTTTTTTCACTTTCATGCAACGGCAAAAATTATTGCTGACTCACATGGCGTATGAGTTATTATTTTTATTTGCGTTCATGAAGTGTGAAAAATGTATTCATAATTTAAATCCATTAATAATTTCTTTATATATAATTAATTGCATTAATTACTTTGATGAGTTTCAACACTACCTACTCCCACAATGATATTACATAAATGTATATTTTTAACTTAATTTTCAAAATAAATCAACATCTAAAAATAGGCATTTATAAAGCATTTATTCAGCTTTATTGACTCATTTATCCACATTCTCACACAGATCATATACTTACTGTATCTTATAATAAATTTGTTAATGTGGTTTATGTGAACTTACCTGCAATATTTTACAACGGTTCTTCTCACAACTGTCGTCCACACAAGGCTGGTACATGCCCAACGTAATGCAATTCAGTAGTATCACCATTATTGAGATACGCTCGAACCATGTGTTAAATGGAAAATGGAAAATCAATAAATATTAAAATACAGTTAAGGAAAACCAAGAATTGTGTACAAATAGTTGCGGGCAGGAGTTCCGTGCAGTTCAGTACAGTTCAGTACAGTTCACTTAGGTTGAGTTGTGGTCAGCTCGGAATAAATAATTACATTATTCCATTGTGTATGTACATAAATTTATCTGATATGCGGATAAATTAATGTCACACTGCATGTAGTAATGTACAAATTTTAGATTCTGTGAGTAAGCAATTTAAACATTGGACAAAGCAAATTAATATTTAAACTTATTAAATGTGAAAACATTAAATAATAATTATACATTTTCGTAATATATTAAATGTTTAAATGATATAAAATGCTATATTTTACAGATATTAAATACTTTACTGAGGCAAGCATATTAATATAAGTATTAAAAAAATGTTGTAAAGTGAATTTAAAGTATATTTCAGATCCTATTAGGTAATATTATATATATATATTTATATGTTTGTTGTAATATACATAAACTTTTAGTTGTGAAACTTAAAGTGTTCAAGGGAACGACATTAATTCCTTTTTGTTTTTAGTTTATGTGGGCGTTAGTGTGTTCTTTGCTTTGATGTACACTTGCAGTTTAACTCATTGATTCTGTTTTGCTGTTGAAAACTTCTGGTAATGGATTCTAAAGAGGCTGTTTTACTTTTATGATTTCACTGATTTTAACAGCTTTTAACCATTTCTGAAATGCATTGTTCCATTACTTAAATATGAGAATTTTTCTAGTTTTTGTTTTTATTTTGCCTACTTTAAGTGACAAACTTAAAGCTGCAGTTTTATTTTAAAAAAATGAAACAGTACATTTCATATTAAGAATACTTAGGTAAAAAAAAAATTATATTATATCAAATTATTAAAATTGTATTGCGTTTATATTTAAAAATATAAAAATATTTATTATTTATTTCAAAGACATGTACTTCATATACTTCTTAATATACCCATATTTAAAGAGATGCTAGTATTTTAAGCAATTTTTAATAGCACAATCTATACATTTATGGTAAACTAAAATTGGTAATTGTTTTAATATAACAAAATAAAGATACATTAAATATTTCGTTATATCAGACAAAACTAGAGAAGAGAGCCAAATCAATACCATTGATACTGTCTGGTATATGGATAGAGCCCAAAACAGATTGGTATCGGGAATAGGATTCTACAATTTACAGAGTTGCGAATATCTATTAGAACAAAGAAGAAATAACTTTGGTATTTTTAACTAAAATTAATGCCACAATTATCTGCTCTCTATAATTACAAATCAGAAAGGTGAAGACATAAAAAAATTTTTTGCATTACAGATAGTGTGACACAGGTAAAATAATGGTTACTTGCTATTATATATTTTCAAGTTTTCAATCTTGACAAACACAAACCAAGTTGAAGATTGAAAACTTTCCACTAATTTGGAGACAGCTATTGTATTAAACAGCCAAGCTTCTTGGAATCAAGTTAACTAGCATACCGTTGTTTTAATAACAATAAATAGCAGGCAAATTGACTAACGAAACTACTTACAGATAACCATATAAGTAGGACCTAGCAAATCTCACTACACAATTTAGGATTAATTGATTTCGAAGACACATTCGAAGACAAAAACTTAACCAGTAAACGCTAGTGCAAAAGGAGTAACTTGGGTAGATCCTGTTGCACTAAGCCCTATTTTTCAAAATATTCTGAGTAAAAGAAAAAATACTTTCTAAACCTAAAAATACCCTTATAAAAAATTTTGATTGTGGAGATAACCGATAAATTTATTTTAAAAGAGCATAAAATGTGTATAAGATTATCACAAACAGACGAGTGTGGACTATGTATGGAATACATAAAAACAGCCCTGCATGTGTTTGAAGAATACCGTCCTGAATATATAATACAGGAGAGATACAGATGTGATATGTGATTCTTAATATATATTTTATTTTTTTTTTAGAATTTCAGAATAATGAAAAGCTTATGTGCAGATGAAATGTCCGGCATAAGAACTTCCTTTGTTTCAACTGTTAAGTACTTACAAATTTTGTAAGAATGGAAAAAAAGGAGTTATGTGTGTTGACCTAGCCCAACTTTTTTATAATTTCTACTTTTCACAATAATGAAAAGGAATGTCGTTAAGCAATATCAAGACCTTACACTATTACAATATACAAAGTGACTGTGAGATGTATATAGAGTAATTGTATTTAGAGAGATAATACCAATGATGCTGAACTGTCACGCTAGCAAAATAAAAAAATAAACTCATATACAGTGTATATAAACTTTATTTTAATGATGAAAAATCAACATATTCAGATTTGCTAGAACAAAAAAATCCTTAAAGGTCTCTTAAAGTTGTCATAACGAAGTTTGTCGATTTTATTCATAGTGAATCCAAAATTTACTCATTCACTGAAAAGTAGTGTTTGCCATTATTTTTATATAATCCAAGCATTATTCTGCATTGACTTATAATTACAGACACGATTTGTATAAATTGTTTAATTCTATACTAAATGGTTTTAAAATTTTATAAAGGAAATAATTAAATTAAATAAAAATCTCTTGTCTTAAAAAACATTAAGAGATATAGAGTACTTTTCATGCGAAAGAATAAAATATAGCAGGTGTCCTGACTAGGTCAGGTTTAGTAGATAGGATTTAATAATGACTATTTCACTTCATGGCCATTGAAGCAGCTATAAAAAGAAAGAAAAATCATCAAACACCTTCCATGTTCCTGAACAGCGCTTATTTAATAAAGAAAAATATTAACTATATTAGTTAAGATGGTTTCTTATGACTTATGGCTGTCTAGGTATTTTTTGTAGAGGCAGTGCCCTGTTTTCTATTCGATCAGCGTATAGACGACACATGCCTGTATATGAAATAGTATGATTTACATGAAATTGGTAAAGTCACACATATTTCGTATAATATGAAGAATTCAAATCAAGTACTTTCACATTCATATCAAAGGTTTTTAATCTTAAAAGATTTGTAAATCAATTTAGAATACCATATAATATATATAGTATATAGTATATATTGTAAATGTAGTATATATAGTAATATGTAGTATATAACTACAAAGCATTGATAAGTTTTACTTAATTTTTAATGATCTTTCTTGCTTTTTATTTGTAATTTATTTTATTTGTTTTTTATTTTTATTTTATTTAATTTAACATATTTTTTAATGAAAGTATAAAAAGTAAATGATAATTTAAATGATTGGTCTTATGCATGACCAATTAAATAGTTTCCAAACAATATTTTTTATACGTTTTTTACTATATCATTCTGAAGCATATTAAAAAACATATTCATGCTATTTGCTTTATATAAAAATAAAAACTTTTTATCACACAATGGTTCGTTAAAAAATTAGCGTTACTGGAAACTTTTTTAAATTCTCTATTAATGCAACATTTCGTTTATATTTGAATTTTTTTACGGATTATTAGTATTATCACAGCGGAGCATACACAGCTCCGCATTTTATAGTTTTCCGCATTGTGATTACAAATTATTTGCACAGCAAATCCACAACTCTAGGGAATACTGAATGCAATGTGACTTTGTTGTTGCTTATTGTAGCGATTAACGATTAAAATGCAGTAGAGCGTAAAAAGTACCTCTAATTGTAAATTTTAAATTTCAAAAAAAAAAATTGAATTAAAAAAAAATTAAAATAAAAGTTTGATCCTTAAATTTCAGGTATATTTTATATTATATATACAACAAAAAAAAATTAAAATCTGTTATTTAGCCTTTTCTAATATAATTCAACTAAGTTTGAAAATTGATTAAAAATCACTCATACGCTGTGTGTCACTTTAAGGTTAAAGCGTCGCTAAGTGTAGTAGAATGAAAATTAGACGATTTAAATTTGATATTTTCTGAACCAGTAGAGTTCAGAAAGTTGTTATTAAATATAGTTTTTGAAATGGATTTTCTTTTGATTGTATTTGGAGCAAATCGCTCTACTGAAAAACCTTTATATTTGGATCTAACCATGATCTACTTTTGCATATTTTTGAATACTTTAAAAATTATGATAGGTTGAAAATTAAAATTTGATAAACTAAATATTTGTACTAGATCAACTATGTTCAAAAAATTTCATGATATTTCGCATAATACAACAATATAATATTGTTTATTAATTTAAAAAAAAAACTATCTATTAGACTATGTAGACTATGTAGACTATGTACGTAGAGTTTTCCTTCCATAAATCTGGCCGCTTTTTGCGAATGGCTTCACGCAAACGATGCATAACGGCAAAATAATACTCCTTATTGACTGTTTGACCGTCCGGAAGGAATTCATAGTGCACCACACCACGAATATCGAAGAAAACAGTCAGCATAACCTTAATTTTGGACCGACTTTGGCGTTCTCATTTCGGTTTCGGCTTACTTTCGAAGCACCATTCGGACGATTGTTAGATTGGTAGGCACGTTAAATTTATAGACCCATGTCTCATCACCAGTTATGATGCGTTCGATGAATGTGTGGTCACTATTTGCGTTGGAAATCATCTCTTTGGCCACATCACGCCAACCCTTTTTTTGAATGAAATTCAGCTAAAAATCGCCACACGAAAATTTTTCGACTTCTTTGTATAGACGCCAACGCCAACTTTAACAGAATGTGTATAATAGTGTTGCCAGTGTGAACATAAAAAAAATTTGCCGATTGGATAAGCGTGGGAATTCAAAAAAATAACGAATAAGTTATTTTTTGATTACAAGGTATATGCAGAAAATCGGAGTGGTCTGTCCAGAAATTGTAATATCGTAAAAATTGAGGAACTTTAAAGTTTGATGATTTTTTTACTACTTAATGAAAAATTTTATTTCTTCTGTTTTTTAAAGCTCTACATATTGTCATTATTTGCATATAGAAAAATTTTCAATTTTATTCAACAGTTAAATTTTATAAGTCAA